GTCCATTATAGTACACTGGGAAAAATCTATTAAAATTCTAATCATATAACTTAATATGAAGATTAAGTTATTCTGGAAGACAATTCTAATAGATACAAATTCTGTATATTATTACTGAAGTGTTGGCAGCTATCACTATGTCCCACTAGAATAAAAATATAATTTTATCAATCTATTAAAACATCAATCTACTTAACAGGTACAGCAATCAGCCATATATTATTAACATTAAATATATTGACGTGCTGCTATCTTTAGGACTGACTACCAACAACAGCCAGTTTGGTCTAATAGTTAAGGCACCAGTTTAGAAATTGGATGACTGTGAGTTCTAGTCCTGCCTTAGACATGAAAAACCAGCTGGATGACCAACTTGGGTCAGTCACTCTCTCTCTCTGCCTAACTCCCCTCGCAGGGTTGTTGTTCTGGGAAAATGAGAAAGAGGAAAGAATATTAGGTATGTTCATCACCTTGATTATTTAGAAAAATAATAAAGGTGGGGTTAAATAAAATAAAAGAAAGAAAGCCTGGAGTCAAGAAATATGCTACAGAACTAGCATTTAAGAGGGTAATAATGAAGGAAAGATATTTATTTGTTTGTTTGTCAAACATATACAAGATAACAAGTATAGATATGAACATGAAATGAAGTAAATACAGATAAATGGGGACAGTAAAACAGGGGTGGTAGGCATGCTGGTATGCTTATGCACGCCCCCTTTAAGGACCTCTTAAAATGGGGTGAGGTCCACAGTAAAAAGTTTGAGGTTGAATATTCAGATGCCATTGACATGTCCATACTTACAAAGATCTGAATTGTGCAGGGAAAGGTTTTCCTTGTGACATGTTGCTGAAGCAAAAATTGGACAGTGAAGAAGCAGGAGAAAAATAATACTTATAAATGTGGATACCCAAGAAAATGAAAAAAAAAATGAATCACTGAACAAATGGATCCAGGTATCCACTTGAGACTCAAAGGCCCAGTCTCAAATTATTATGTTTTGGACACATTATGTGAAGTTCTCTTGAGATGATAACAATGCAAGGAAAGGAAAGAAAGATAAGAAGAAGAGAACCATCAGCAAGGAGGATGAACTTGATTACAGTATGTGATTACCTTTGGAGGATCAAGAGTGCATCTTTGGAAGATCAAAAGGGGGAGGACAGGAGCAGATCTTCTTTGAGAAGATCTGTCTATGTAGTTGTTAATAGTGACACCAACCTGACCACACATGATCAATCAATTAATCCTTAAAGTTTAGTGTATCATTTCTAAATCATGTCACACATTTCTGCTTAGTCTGAATTGTCAAAGTGTTTCTTTTCAGAATGTGATTACTTTTGGAGGATCAAGGGATCACACTTTAAGAAGAATTATAACAGCTTATATTACTTGCTATATAAAGTTTTTGTCCTGAATTTATAAATTGGTATTATATTTAAATATATTCTGTTTTATTATTTTGTTGCTTATTCTTAGTTATTTGTAGGATAGATAATTGGCTCATAAAAATCAGTATGCAACAATGCTTTTAAAACCGGACATTTACTTAAAGGTGATTCATTTGTTTCCTTAGGGACTGTGTTAAATGTAAATTTTAAGTATAAGAGAAAAAAACAAGTTAATGGTCTCAGGTATTGTTCTTACCTACACTTATAGTCCATTCAAGTGGACTGAAAAGAGAAATGAAAATACTACAAAGTGAATAACTGGCAATATGCCAGATGATTAGAAAACAGCAAATGTTGTTTCTATCCTGTTAAAAGAGAATAGAAGAAACATAGATCAATAATGTGATAGCCAGCCATGGGAAATTTCTTGCATGGTATAAAGTGATTGATCAGAAGGAATTTGAAAAGAATGTGGTCATTAGAGGAAATCAGCACTGGTGTGCTAGGTTAATTTTATTTCATTTTTTATTAGATAATTTCATCAGTAAATTGTGGGTATGCTTTATACATAATGCTTCTTGAGATCAGCAAGATATTTAAATAAATAGTCTATGGCATTTTGATTAGTAAACTAGTTAAGTGAAAGTTAAATAACAAAGAAAATCCAAATAGTGCTCATGAATGGTTCCTCGTTAAGTTGGGAGTAGGTGCTGGGATTGGTCTTGTTCTTGTAACTCCTCAACATTTTTATTAAATGAAGAAATGGAACAAAAGCTATCCAGTCCCCAATTGGACTGAATAGCCAATATTTCAGAAGACAGATTTGAGAAATAAAATTAATGAAATGTAAAAGATGTAAATGCAAAGATAGGGAATACAGATAGTATCTTTCAAAAAGGTCTTGGCATACAAACTTGATGACAAACTAAACTCTAATATGCCATGGCTGCAAAAAAAAAAAAAGGGGGGGGGGAAATGTGACTCAGTAGGGAGTGTCAACTAAAAATGAAGTTCTACAAAGAAAGATTTAAGGTATGGGCAACTGCAGGTTGAAGTTTCAGAAGTCTGAAAGGACACATGGTAGAACTCTACAAATACTTAAAAGGATACAATGCGGAAAATGGTCAATTTCCATTGATCCAAAGAACAGGACGCAAGATATGAATTACAAGAAGTCAGGTTCTGAGGGAATGTTAGGAAACTTATCCTGGCAGTTAGAACGATTTGATTGTGACTAATTACCTCAAGAAATAACAAGTTCTCCTTCACTGGATGAGCTAAAAAAAACAACCATGTATTTATTTTTTACAGTTATATTTTAGATTTATATCCTGCTTTTCCTCCTGGAGTGTATTGAGGGAGTGTACGGAGTTTATCTGTGGATCTAATTCTACTACTTATTTGTATCCAGCACTTCTCTAGATATCTGCAGTTTGAGCAAATTGTTCCAGAAGACTTGAAAATGTTTTCAGCTAAATACACTCTAAAAGAGTGGAAATCCTTGTAGTTTTAACACTGAATTCATCCTCCTATTTAGTCTTCTGAAAAGTTCTGACACATTTACCGTACAGGTAGTATTCAACTTACAAACATTAGTTGAGCAACTATTTGAAGTCACAAGGTACTGAAAAAAGTGAGTTATGACTTAAAGCAATAGCACTTAGACTTCACATTGCTCTATAGCCTTCTCTAAGCAGTTTACAGACTCAACATATTGCCCCCCTCCCCAATCTGGATCCTCATTTTACCAACCTTTATCAACCTTTAGCCGGTGAGGATCAAATCCCTGGCAATCAGCAGAGTTAGCCTACAATACCGCATTCTAACCACTGTGCCACCATTATAGCACCCCACAGTCTGGACAAAATTCAAGTGCCTGGCAACCAATGTATATATATGGTGTTTGGTTTCCAACAAGCAAAGTCAATGGGGCAAGCCAAATTTACTTAACCACAGGATTAACCAGAAGAGTCACTTAACTGCAGTGATTTGCTTAACAAACATGGTATAAACAGTTGTAAAATGGGTCATAACTCATTTAGCAACCGTCTTGCGCAGCAATGGAAATTCTGGTCTCAGTTGTATAAGCCAAGTAAGTCAACTACTTAACGTATAAATTAAGATGTTTAAAAGTTTGAAGTGATATTTTCTCAACAAGTTATATTACTATACAGTTTTAGAATCTTTGAATAATGATCAATTCCTTTTTTCAAATTTTATTTTTTTACAATGCAAAATGAAAGCCAAAAAAATTAAAGAATTATGTTTTGCATAATAAATGTTTGTCTACAAATATTATAAATACTGTCTGTCAGAATATAATATGAAAAATTATTCTGAAATTATGGTTCATATATCATAGACAAATCCATTATTATTGTATTTTTTGCTAAATTAAATTCCAAGTTCTTGAAAATTTTCTAAAAAAATTATTGAAAATATATGCATTATATATTTTGTAATGTTAAATACATCAGCTTTTATCTTGCTTAAAGGGTCTTGTAGGAATTTGATTTGAAAACTTTTTTATCCTGACATTAAATTTAATGAGACAAAGGAGGCTAGAAGATTGGACCTACAGTATACCTCTGCAAAGAATATGGGTACTCACTGTAGCCAATGTATAATTATCCTCTATAATCTGATTGTTTAATTTTAATTTTTAAAGGAATAATATATGAAGCACATCTTAATTATTAATGAACTGAATAATAATGATTAACGTAGGACCTGATCAACAGGTATTTTTGCAACTTGATTACTTTGAGGATAAAATGAATAGTTGAAACTGAGTCTTTAATACTATGGCCTGATCTGCTGCCATATCACAAAAGTCACTCCTTTAGACACTCTTCCCAGCAGCACTCATCTACTATAAGGCAAGATGGGACAAAATGGGACAACATGGCACAATGTTGCATGTTCCCTTAAACCACCCCCCACCCCCCATTTCTGAGTGTACCCAAAAATCAAGTATGATCCTCCCATATGTGCTCAGTTATGACTTCTGTTATGCTTTTACATTGTTATGATGTGGATAAAACAATACAATTATTATGATACATTCTGCTGTCAGAATTGCTATCCTTGGTCAACATTTTTGTTGATTAACAAAACTTAATCTGTGCCAGAATATTGGCTAGTGGGCAACAACTAACGTCAAATCTCAACCTATCTAGCAAAGGCGCTGGTTCACTTCTATCAATTGGTTACAGTACTATACTAATACAAAACCAGCTGCATGGTTTTTCCTTTTTCGCTTATGTATGCTAAACTTATGCAAGAGTAATTTACTACTAAAAATCACACAATGAGTCTTCATTAAGCTGGATGGAGTATACAGAATTCAGTACTGAATGCTATGAGACAGTTATAAGGAGCCAGGATGTAAAACTGAAATTAGTTTGGTCCTTGCAAATGTTTATGTATAGAAAGATTTATTTCTAAAATTAAGTTCTGTTACAAAAAAGGCAATGTCTTCATATAAATGGGCAGAAATTATATGTTCACAACTGAATATTCAGGTAGAAGTACTTAAACATACATGCATTTCATATTTTATATTGTTCCAAAAATCAACCCAATTTGCATCAATGCTTTTTTATTACCTTAAAGTACTGCAGTTGCTTCTCCGCATTCATTGTTCCTTCATTTTCTTGCCTCAGACAGGAATTGAAGATAAAAAGCTCAGTATCTCTCAGCCACCCTTTCAATTCTTTGATTCTGACCTCCAGCTGCCTTACTAGGTTGCCACTTTCAGGGGAAAGCAAGTCACGTGCTCCTAACCCACTGTGCCCCACCAGTGATTCTTGAATCTTCTCTTGTAGAGTTTTCTAATGCAACACAGAAAGAAAACATAGATTAATCTAAGGTTCTAAAGTATGTAACAGCTAACCACTGGCTCGAAAGCAACCGAATTAGTTGCTCTAACTCCTGATTTATCTTATGCATGTTTTTTTAAAAAGAATATTCTGTTGAATTCAGCATGGCTCAATCCCAGGTAAATAGATACAGAATAGGTTTTAATATTTTTAGTATATTTCTAATAGACCTATCAAAATACTATCTGAGCCCATATAGATAACTGAATTGCTTTTGGATGAACAATTTTCAAAGAAGTTTGGTCATCAATAGAAGCTTATGGGTATAATATTCTGGCTGTGTTAAAATACCTACCACAGATATATAGTCAAAAGTGTTATACACAGCTGAAACATAGATGTTAACTTATGATTTGAAGTCGCCACAATACTGGACTTATATAATTTGCTGATCACTGAGATTTGATTCTCACAAAAGCCGAAAGCAAACAATGATGGCTTAGTTAAAGCAAAATCTAGTAATCTCAATTCATCTCAGTGCCACTTGTTTTTCCTATAGAAGTGTTTCAGTAAGAACTGATTTAGATCCAAAAAACTGCAAGTAGACCTATGACTGAGAACCTACTTTTCTATTCAGTATTATTACTTATCTTTCTTTAGAATTTTCTGTGTGTCTCTGTGTTAGATATACCCTAATGATGTGGGATAATAGTCACAGTCATCATCACCTCTAATTTTGCATACATAATTAACTAATAGCCAAATTGGAGGCATTAAAGACTTGGTTTTGACTGTAATTACAATGACTCAAAATACCTTAAAATTATGTATCTGTAAAGAGAATATTTGTAGCTCAGGGTTGAAATGAGGGGTCTTCAGATCACCCCAACCCATGCAGACAGGCAAGACACCATAATATAAACTGACAGTAAATAGCACTCCTTACTAGCCCTGATGATATTACCTAGTTAAGGTAATGAAATGTTTGAAAGAAAACAAGCAATCTCAGAGAGCACCAAGGACCACTCATTAAAATTAGGTGAATGGTTGCATTGTAATTGGAGTTATTGCTATCAAGGCTTCCAAAAGTTAAACCTTCTTCGCCTGCAATAATCAACCGATTATTAAAGGGAGAATAAGTTAGGATGAGTCCCATTCAAATCAGTGAAATGGGAAATGAGTGTTTTGAGAATTTAACAACCTAACAATAGGCTTTGAAATACATACTGAATTAAATCAACAGATATTCATCTATTCTCAAACATTGTGCAAATAATGTATTTGGGAGATCGTAACGGAATAAAACAAGCATTCTTGGCAACACCCTTCTATTTTGATGGCTCAGATATTGATAATTTGAAGGCTCTCAGTGGAATCCAGCTTTAGCTATTGTTTTTACACTGTAACAAAAGTAGCAGCAGGAGGTGAAATCAATGCCCTTGGTGGGAAGGGTCACAAAAAAGAATTTATTGCCACTTTTTTGTTCTGGAACAGTTTGCAATCATAAATTCTTCATAAACAGAATACTTCAGAGAATGGTCCGTCTTCATAAATATACGACAGAGGACATCAATTTCATTTAATTCACAATTTGTGTCAGCACAGCAGATGCCAATGCCTGCCTTGATAGGGTTGTTTAATATGCAATTGAGACTGAGTAATATTCAGCACAGGGGACAAAATTTCACAGATTAAACTGTACGCACCACTGACATTTCATTCTAATGTATTTCCATTCCACACTGTTCACCTTAGATGAAAGTAATATTAAAAACCATATCTCTCTATTTTACCATTGTTAGAAGTTAAAATCCTTGTCTTTAATTTTTTATGCCAATTAAAAGTAATCATGCCAATTAAACAGTATGCATGGTATTGTTAGTTTCCACAGTTTTTCTTATTAAATTAAAGAAAACTCCATCAAAAACTGCTCATTAGACGTGAAATTTCATTTAAGAAGAAAAAGCAACTTTTTTTTTTGTAAATGCAGAAATTAATTTGAAAAAGTAATATAAAATTGCTTCTTGATAGAAAAAGAAAGGACCTTTAAAATTCATTTTAAATGGCAGAGTAGTCTTTTATTTCTGTTTTAAAATCTGATTATTTTAATGAAGGAAAGTTGATTAATTGCTTTTCTGACTGACTGTATATGCTTTTGGGTAACCAAGAATTTGGAATTGTCTTGAAATGCACTGATTTAAAAAGATGAACAATTAATTTTGTATGCCCAAGGGGAGCTTGAGTTTGATATAAAATAGTCCTTTCCACATCACACAGCATCTACCTTGCTCGTGGAAGGGACTTGGATAGAGAAATTTTATATGACATGGGGATTGCTTCTTCCTAATGAAAACAAAAGAAACAGAATGAAACAGAATTAGAAGTACTATTGCTGCTGAATATGATTAAAAACTCAGGAATACCTCAAGCAGCTGTTGGAAACATAATCTTATGCCACCCTCAGCAGATGATCAATGCTATCAAAGTTCATCATATCAAATATCCACCCATTCAGCATAGTATATGTAATTCTTTTTCCAGTTTGAGTGTTTTCAGTTAAGTAATAGGTGGCCAATGGACAGAGGCAAATATGTGCAGGCTGTGTTTAATAATATTTCCAAAACTATGGAAACATCATTGGTCCACAGAGATTGGCATCAGGGAATATTTTGTAACTATTAAGGACAGAAACTTTTCTCCCAATAAAATATTGCATTTTTATATTGCAGTATTTAAATGTCGCAATCTAAAAGTGCAATTTTTCAAAATATATTTTGATTCATGAAAAGTGATGTACAGGAATTGATGTACAGGAATTGGCTTTTTGTGTGGTTGGCTGAACCTAAAACCTTCAGTGCAGAAGTCTGAGAAGTGGATCTCTGCATGAAGCATTCTTGGTCATATATTAATTACTGAAAACATTACATGTGATCTTGTCTACACGATGTATCAAAAATGGTAGCTGATATAGAAACTGATGAGAATGTTTTTCAGAACGTATTATTCCATTCTTATTTCATTTAATTAATACCTAGTTTGACTGTAAGGTCAATTCAAAGTGCTATCTTCTGGAATGTGATTTAAAAAGCAATATGCTCCCACATGTGCCTCTTTGTTCGTTTTCTCTGCCATTGTCATCAGAATTGTAATCAGCAGGTATGTAGAACAGAATCTTTTGACTTGCAACTCCTGGAACTTGAATTTGGACTGGAATTCAGAACTGATTAACCCTCTTTCTGATTGTGAATTGTATGAGAGTGCTGTCTTGTGTTACTTATTTTTCCTCTCATTATTCTGATTTTTATGACTATTGTTATTGTTTATGTGTAGCTGAATCACACTGCATTGAAACTATTTTTTGCAGGAGATGGATACAGTGATATGGGGTTGCAATCATTGTTTTTAAGGCTATTATTTCCAAGTCTGAAAGTGTAGAACTTTTTGTAAAATTATTGCTTACCTATGACTTTATCATTTAGTTTGTAAAGTTACCTGACCTTTGATCTTGAGTGACACCAATTAAGGGAAGGAATGGAGAGGAGAAACACATTTGTCCTCTCACATACTGTACCTTTCAGCAATTGGCAATTGCTTCTGACATAATGCCTTATTGGTATTTGGTTAAGAGTGTGCTGCAGATGTTGTTAGAATCTCACATTTGGTTGACAGTGGGACTATTATAGCATGAAATGAATTATATAAAATGTTTACTTTTTTGTTTACTTCTTGTCAAACATGAGCTGCACATGTCACTATGAAACACATCCTGATTGCTACCCTCAGAGTTGCGATTTCAGATTGGTGCATTATTTGCACATTTGTTTTCTGCAGCATCAGTATGACCTGAAATATGTAGTGACACCCCCACTTTTCATCTTTAGGGTATAATAAATAGTTAAAGAGTAGATGTCTCTAACATGTACCTTCAGAATAAATTCTATTAATATTCACTCAAGTATGACAGTCCATGTATATCTGTATTATAGTGTACACTGTATTAGAGCTGACTTGGTGCATACCCATTATATATGGCATATTTTACTTACATTTTTTTCTGTATTAAAGTACTAAAATTGTTAAAGTCAGACCAGGCACAAACATAGAATTAAAAAAACAGCCTAGAAAAAATATCTTTTTTTGATAATAGTATGTTTGAAATGTATCTAGTGAATTGAATGAAAGAGCTATTTGAGTTTCATATTGGAAATCAGATACAGAGCACACTTTAAGACACAGAAAAAGGACCTAGAACCCACAAACAGTAATAAAAATGCAAATACCCCAAGCAGTTCCCATTTTTCATTAATTGAATCCACTTTTTCAAGGAGATCACTTGGTAGTAAAACATCACTTCTCTTCAGAGCTTCCACTTTACTCAGCAATTCCATCTTTTTGGGATGTCTGATTGACATTTCTACACTGTACCGCTAAAATGAAAAAAAAAAAAGATGAGTTAGTTATAGAAAAATACCTTTAATTAAAATATAATATTAGAAAGTAAGAGGAACAGAATAACAGAGTTGGGAGGGCCCTTGTAGGTAATCTAGTCCAACCCGCTGGTTGAGCAGCAAACCCTATACCATTTCTGACAGATAGCAGTCCAGTTGCTTCTTGAAAGCTTCCAGTGATGAAGCTCCCACAATTTCTGAAGGCAAACTGTTCCATTGGTTGATTGTTCTTACCACCAGAAAATTTTTCCTTATTTTTAGGTTGAATCTCTCCTTAATCAGTTTCCATCCATTATTTCTTATCTGTTCTTCAGGTGCTTGGGAAAATAGGTGGACCCCCCCACCTCTCTGTAACAGGTCCTCAAATATTGGAACATTGCCATCATGTCTCCCTCTGGTCCTTCCCTTCATTAGACTAGCCATGCCCAGATCCTTCATGTTTTAGCCTCCAGTCCCCTAATCATCTTTGTTGCTCTTCTCTGCACTCTGGACTGAATATGATGTCACTATTATGTAATTCATGTACTTCCAAATGTCTTTTAAAATTATACCAACAAAATGAAGACAACTGTGACCTAAAGATAGCTTCCAACTCTGTTCAGTAGGGTTTCCGCATTCATTTGGTTCCCAATTCTAATTCAAGTCAATGAAAATAATTCACTTATAACAGGAAAATATATTTATACAGAACCTTTTTAAAGGTGATGTTTATAAATTTCCTTATATCTCTCAATTCTTGGGAGAAACATTTTTTTTCATGTTCCCGCATACAAATGGTTTTTTTGGCTGGGATCCAGCGAGTAACTTTATCCTATTCAAGGGCATATGAATTTTAATTGCATTTTAAAATACTTTTACATTTGCCAACAAATTTCAGTCCATATCATAATCTGAGCATATTCACATGTCCCTCTAGCCTTAGTTTATGACTATACAAATAGTCATTTGCTTTCCACTGGATCTTTTAAAGAGCAGGCACAGTTGGCCAGGTAACCAGGACAATGTTTTGTTTGGAAGCATATGACTGACTCACTCAACATGGGAATATAGCAGAGGTGGTATTCAGCAGGTTCTGACCAGTTCTGGAGAACCAGTAGTGGAAATTTTGAGTAGTTCGGAGAACCTGCAAATATCACCTCTGATTGGGGATTTTACAGTATCCTTCCCCTGCCAGGCCCACCGTGCCATGCCCACAGAACTGGTAGCAAAAAAATTTGAATCCCACCACTGGATTATAGGTAAAATAATTCATGGATAGCTCATTAGCTCAAGCATTGTCTTGAAGGGCCCAATGGTACAATTTTCTATTCTGTTTGAAGGCATCTTGACTTAGAAAAAAGTTTACTATGAACACAAAAAAGGAGTTTACTGCCTGAGAAACTAAAATTAATGTTTCAGTGAGCATGCAAAATATGGTGATTTTACTTTGGATCTCATACTTTGTATTGCAGAATCCACAGAAAGCTACCAAATGCCTAGACTGCTCTTATAGCAACTTTCCTCCATTGGTGCAACCCAGATTCCCAATTGTAGTCACCAATTTTGAGAACTTCAATTCTTCTACCCTTGGAAGTTATAAGCGTGGAAAATCCTGTATCACCTGGTTTTACACTCTGTTTATGCACAGAAGCCATAATAATATCACATGTTATGATATCACTGTGCAAATGACACACATCAATTGCATTATGATGTAATTTATGTTCAACATATAAAGTGCAGATCACTCCTCCTCCCACAGATACCTTAGCCAATTTGGAAGAGTCTGAAATAAACGTGAGCAAACCACAGACAGTTTACTTGACAAAAACAACAACACCCAACAACAACCTATGACTGGATACTTTTTTTTCTCTGTCTCTGTCACACACATACACACACACACATATACACACACACATTCATATGCACATTATTTTTCTGTTTTAAAGAAACAGTGATAATATGTATTTAGATACTAGTACAAAACACAATTATCCCGAAAAAGCATTTAAAAGTGTCATATCAATCACACTTGTCTATTAGCAAGTTCCTTCTGCTGCTGTTGAAAGAAAAAAACTTAAAACCAGAAGAAACTACAGCAAAGTCAAAGTAAACTAAAGAACATTTGAAACATGGATGTTTTTGTCAGATCCAAACATGTTGCCCGACAAAACAAAACAAAAATATAATTGGATGGTACTTAGCAGAAAACAAGGAAGGTGTGAAATCATTCTTTCAGCTAATAGATCCTCAGTATTTGCATGAATATGTTTGCATATTGTTAATTTCATATTTTAATCTTTCATTTGCACCGCACATGAATATCATTTATATTTTGCCAACTTCAAATATTAGTCATTTGTGGATCACAGAGCAAAATGTTTTAAATTAGATGGTTTAAAGTATTCTTCATTATTAATGAGCACAGATCAGATGCCAGGGTATCAAAAAATAAGCATGAATATGCATAAGAGGCAACCAATGATTGTGTAGATTTATAACACAAACTTGTCTTTTCAATATGTAAAAAGGAAAGTGGAAGCTTTTTTTAAAAAAGTCTGCATTAACAAGAAGTAATCAGGTTTCAAATGATAGGATTGGATCACAGAATAGCTACAACCTTTTCCCTGGGCTAAAATTGCCAACAAGTATGCTTCTTGGCTCTATATGATTGCCTTTTCAACTGGAAAGAGTGACTAGAGGAGATTACAATCTGCTTTATGTAATCTGATTTCTATTTAAAGATGATATAGCTGAAAAAGATTTACATAATTATTTCTGTAAGTGTGCATAATATCAAGAGAAATCCACGTCTGCTTCAGCTAGACAGTGCAATCTACCTGGTTTCACTTATTCTGCATTTTTTTCTAGAAAGTTGAAGGGAGTTCTCTAATTATCTGGCTATGTTTTGGACTTGCCTACCAATATTTTTCACCTGTAGTAAACTGGGGTTGTTTGCTTTGGGATGAAAAGTATTATAGCTGTGTTTTTGAGCTGATAAAGATTAACATCTAAACAAATCAGGCAGCATATGCCTCTTAACAATACTCCAGTTATCATAAAGACCTAATGGGTATCATTTAATTTCAGTTCTAAACAAAGTGGTTGCACTATGCAACATAATACAAAGAGTTCTTGTGACAGATGCTATAAAAGATTATTACATTAAACCAAATAAATAGGTTAGGTTTCTATATGCTTTCTGCCTCTCTCACAGGGTATCATACTGCATAAACTGCGTGATAAAAGATGCTAATTGCTAGAATATGAATTGTATACTGGCTGGAACAGTTATAAGGGGGAAAACATTTAACTGAAAGATGCACCAGCTATGAAAAGAACAATCAATATTGTTTCAGCTAAAGGACTTAATCTGAAGTTATTTATTTCACTGAGAAAAATGCTTATTGTAGTGTTGAGCTAAGGTTTTGATAGCATTTTTTTTTTACCCTTCAAACACCTACCCTCTGCAAAATTAGCTTCCCAGTTCTATCAGTGCTGCACAACCCTAGTCTAGCAGGAGTTCTTTATCCTGTGGTGAGAAGATAATTTAATCTTCATATTCATTCTACCGTCAGCATTAAGTGAGCAAAGACGGCTGTATTGTGACAGGCTGTGAATGTTATGATATAGATTACTGTTCAATAGCCAACAATGAGATTAATAATTTTAAAAGTCACATCATTTCCTCTTTTTTCCTCTCCATCGTCCAACAATAGCTACATTAAATAAAATGATTTGATATTTATTTTTTCTACTTCATCTGCCTGCAGAAAAAAAAAATCATACATATTTTAATGGCAAAGTCAGATGTTTATATCTATGGATAAATAGAGTGGTTTATTTTGAAACCACTCAAGAGAAAAAGGCAGGAGCATGATGTAAGCTGAGGAATTTTGATTCCCTTCTCTTCCCCTCATTCTTTTTTTCTTCTCCACTTACAATCTTTTAAACTAATTAAAACCAATGCACGTTGAATATCTTGTAAAAAGTTTGTAATGAAGACAGTTCACTGGGACATAATCAGGAAGTGTAGAAAAGATTATTAAGAGAATTTTGTGATGAATGTTTCCTAAAGTGTCCAGCTTTTTCTTTAAGTGTGTGCGTGTATGTCTGCGTGTGTGTGTGCGTGTGTGAAAAATCACACCCCAAAATTCTGTCCAAACAGAGACTGGAACAATGCCTTGAAACAGCATTAATTGTCACCATGGAAACCAGAAGAATAAGCCATTTTGAAACCGGCCTAGAAGGCACTCATTGAGCAACTAAGCATTTTTTTTTTGTCTCCTTCAGTGTTAAAGAACAAGATGCCTAGTCACTAAGAGGTCAAAGAAAGAAATCATTATGAAAAGATCATGGATATCAACTCTGTGGTTAATGATAATAATAACAACAACAATAATTTTGACATTTAATAATAGACCAAGTCTTTATTGCATACTTTTCACGAAAGAGCTAAAATGGGCACCCCTGCCCCACCCTCGCCCCACAAAAATCAGGATCTAGATTCCTATTCTTGCCCTAGAGTGAAATGTTAGGGCAATATTATGCAGCCCTTGGGTCTAAAGCTCCCTGGGAATTTTGTTGTAATAAAACTTCAGAAGAGGAAAGCAAAAAAAAAAAAAAAAAAGGAGAGGAAAAAAGGTTGCATGATGGAATTCAAAACAATGCTTTAAAAGCACACAGAGAGATTAAGACATCTATTGTAAGACTTTTGTATGATGCTTCTGTGGGTTAAAGTGAAAAAAGACCAGACATACCAAACATAGTGAGCTGTGAGTATAAGGGAAAGAAGAATTAAATCAAGGAACACTTCTCTACGGCTGGAATGTTATTGGGAGTGGGAGTCACTTTTTCATATTTTATATCATGAATTTTAGACTTGTTTTCCTAACAACAGAATAATGCCTGTTACTTTAAGGAATTAAACAATGCTTCAAATTTCATTGAAACACACTCTGCAAGTGTTCACAGATTTCTCTTTTGCTAAGGAGTTA